ACAAAATATTCGGGCAACACGGCCCATCAAAAAAGTTATACAATTTTCAAAAGCGACTATAAAAAGTGTATAAAGTAATTTTAAAAATTCAGAATAAATTGAACGGGCCAGGCTTTGAGGCTCATTCCTGTGATTCTAACACATTGGGAAGCCAAGGTGGGAAAGTCACATGAGGTCAGGAGTTTGAGACCAGCCTAGCCAACATGATGAAACCCTGTAACTACTAAAAATACAGAAATTAGCTGGGTGTGGTGGCATGTGCCTGTATTCCCAGCTACTTGAGAAACTGACACACAAGAATTGCTTGAACCCAAGACGGGAAGGTTGCAGTGAGTGAAGATTGTACCACTGCTGGCCAGGCTGGGCAACAGAGCAAGGCTGTATTCAAAAAAAAAAAAAGGACAGGAACAGTGGCTCAGGCCTGTAATCCCAGCACTTTTGGGAGGCTGGAGTGGGTGTATCATTTGGGGTCAGGAGTTCAAGATCAGCCTGGTCAACAGAGTGAAAGCCTGTCTCTACTAAAAATACAAAAATCAGCCAAGTGCGGCAGCATACACCTGTAATCTCAGCTACTGGGAGGCTGAGGCAGGAGAGTCACTTGAACCTGGGAGGGGGAGATTGCAGTGAACCAGGATCATGCCACTGCACTCCAGCCTGAGCAACAGACTGAGACTCTGTCTCAGAAAATAAATAAATAAATTGGATCTGTTAGAGGTTTTATGTAATCCCCTAGATACCACTAAGAAAATATCTGTCTAGATACACAAAAGAAAATAAGAAAAATAATTGAAAGCATATCAATACAAAAATAAAAAAAACCCACACAAGATAGAAAGAGAAAAACAAAGATAAAAGAAACAAATAAAACAATTAATAAAATAACATTGGCTAGGCGCAGTCGCTCACACCTGTAATCCCAGCACATCCCAGCAAGGCCAAGGTGGGTGATTCACTGGAGGTCAGGAGTTCAAGACCAGCCTGGCCAAGATGGCATAACTCCATCTCTACTAAAAATACCAAAAATTAGCCAGGCATGGTGGTGGGTGCCTGTAATCCCAGCTACTCAGGAGGCTGAGACAGGAGAATTACTTGAACCCTGGAGGTAGAGGTTGCAGTGAGCCAAGATTGTGCCATTTCACTCCAGCCTGAGTGACAGAGCGAGACTCCATCTCAAAATAAATAAATAAATAAATAATATTAGTAAGGGTTTTGCTCTTATCAGGAAAAACACGTAGTATTATATATATATATATACACACACACACACAAATTATCTTTTCCAGTCAAGAAACATACGTGTCCATAAGAAAGGCTTATTAAAAATTTTATCAGCCCGCAACGGTGAAACCCCATCTCTACTGGAAAGTTACAAAAATTACCTAGGAGTAGGTCGGTGCATGCCTGCGATATGCCGCCAGCTTACTGCAGCGACGGCTGCGCAGAGAATCACTGGAACACTGCACTGCAGGCCTGAGGCGTGACGCAGAGCGATGACTTCCGTTAAACAAGAAAAAAAAAAAAATTAAAAATCAAGATGCAGACTTACCTTCATTCTACAAGAGTCACCGAAAAGATCTAATGACAAAGACTGACGAGTTTGGCCAAGATGCGAAGTACGAAACTTCATGCTTAAAAGTATTAACGCAAATGGACAGCAGAAGAGGTCCAAAATAATATTACAACAGAGGCTTACATCTTAAGTCAAAAACTGTGCATATTTTATAAATGGTACTTGTAAGTCAAACTTCAGAAAGACAAAGGGACATTAAACAATAATAGATCACCGAGGTCAGCATCACGACCAGCCTGGCCCATCAGCGTGAAACCCCCGTCCATACTAAAAATACAAAAAAATCTAGCCGGGTGGTGGTAGAGGTGCCTTTAATCCCAGCTACTTCAGAAGGCTAGACAGGAAAACCGCTTGAACTCGGGAACAGCAATAGGGTTCAGTGAGCTGAGATTCCCCACACCATGCACTTCCAAGCCCCCTCTGAGCAACAACGGCAGGAAAGATCTGTCACAAGAGAAGAGACTACAACGACTTATAAAGCTAAAGACCATTAG